GGAAAGTAGCAAAGTTGAGATTGAGGTATTCATCACATTATTCACATTCCTATATTGTAGACGTACGAAACTATAATGTAGTGAAACTGTGAAAGCCTACGTTGCATGGGTGTGCAATGTTATTCCTAAGCTAGTTTTGCTCATTGTCAATTGTGAGCTAGATACAACAATTACAGTAGTAAGAATCGAGTTGCACAGAGCTTGAATAAAGTATTAGCCAATTTATATATTTTTTTGAGCTAGATGTGAATACGATGTAGTACAAATTTGCAGAATCATATATCACATTATCATCAAATAAAATCTAGATAGATTTTTTATCAAATCGAACACAGAACCTCAAGTCCTCGACCAAAATAAGAAATTTTGTACAACTTGCCCTTAACATATATCTAATTAAATATAATCTAAGTAAAAAACCGCTTAGAATAATGTTCTTGTTTTCTACAGTCTTCCTTACTCTGGTTCTCCAATTTCTCACAGACAATTACGTAAAATTAACGAGTTTAAATCTTTCCATGGTTTTCTCCAATTTGTTACATAATATGGTATTGATCGATCATACAAGTCTGGTACTACACAACAATTGCAAGTGGGTTCAATTTTTTTTTTGATGAAGAAAAAATTTATTGATAAAGAATAGACAGATATGTAAAACTGATCAGCCTACATTAAAATGTAGCATCAGATATCCACAAGAACACCAAAATAACAAGAATGATGACCAAGAGACCAAACAGTAATCTAGCAGAAAAACCACTTGTATTTGTTTTACTCTCTTCTGATTAAGTCTTCCCATCTTATCATAATCCTTTCTTCTAGGCCATGATCCACACCAGTACCACAACACGTACTCCTTTAACCTCGTTCGCCATTCCCCTTTGATTGATGTCCTTATCTCTAAAGATTCCTTCATTTCTATGCTTCCATATTATCCATATGATTGCAAGTGGGTTCAATTTACCAAGCACAATTAATTGATAAAATAATTTTGGTTCTTGATGTGTTAAAACATGTTTGTAACATTTGCAGGTCTGCATCTTTGATACTGGACAAAGGAATTGAAGGAGTGGGGGACATATATATAGCAGTTACAGAGAGGCTCAAGAAGGCATTTTGATGCTATCATAGGAATTGCACTCGATGTTTTTAAGTAGCTCCATATATGTGATTGAACATGCAGAGTTGGCTTGAGGACCTATTGTTCCTGAAGTCTCAACCTGAAATCAAGCTGCCATATTTGTATTAACAGATTAACTTGATTAATTAGTTGTACTGATTTTGAAGATAAGACTAGCTTAACTGATTAAGCAGATCAATAGTTCAAGAGATAAACAATTTGATATATATTTGGTCAGTAGAAAATATATATTGTTAATGAAAATTGTGAGAGTATTAGTAGAACCAAGTTGAATATGTCATGAGTAAAACATTGCACCATGTCGTACACCGTGACCACAGATTATATTGAGTTGAAGAAATAAAATGAAATACTACGACAGATCAAGCCGAAAAGAGGTAATTTAACTCTTGTTCAAAACAATATTCATGAAAAATTGACGATGTTTTTGTTTATGCAATGGATTTCTCAAACGCCCATTGGTTTTCTCTTCATTGGTTTTCTCTTCGGACTTCTTCTTCTTCAGGAGTAAAGTCATTCTTAATATTAAAAGTCCTGCCTTGC